TAGCATGTGGGCACGAGATGGGAATTCAGTCAACACGCTGGTTCATGCGTTCTCCCAAGGCAGAGTAAACACGTTCAAAACAAACAAGTAAACAAACACTGTCAAACAAGCAAGCAAGCAAACACTGTCAAACAAGCAAGCAAACACTGTCAAACAAACAAGCAAACATACATGACGCACACACGACACACGCACACACGACGCACACACACACATTGGCAAACACGCCTGAAGTGTTCCTCGTACCCGTGCGGCTGGGGCGAGTGGCGCGTGTGTTCAAAGCGCTGCTTCAGCTGCTGCACATTTGAGTGCTGCGTCTGCACCTGCTCTGCTGCTGGTGCCGGCCTGGTTGGACTTGGGCTTGTGTTTGCTCGCTTGGGGCTGTGTGCTTCTCCCAGCATGTGCTGTGGTGCGTTCTCCTTGTCCATGCTGGGCGAAATGTGTGCTGGCCTCGGGTTAGGGCTCGTGCGCTTGGCTGGGGATGGGGTCTTCATACTTTTTGCTGGAGACCTCTCCACGGCCAATTGCGCGGGGGACGGCGAGTACCTGCCAACACGCCAGACAACGTGAGGGAGGTTGAATATGAAGCGGTTGAAACGAACGAAACGGGAGGGGGCGGGGCGGAGTGGAGTGTGTGAGTATGTGTGGTTTTATGTGCGTGTATGTATGTATGTGCGTGTATGTATGTGGGCGCTCTTGCACACACACACACACGTGTGCAGCACTTACACACACACACACACACACGCACACATGTGTGTGTGTACACTCTCACTTTGGCGGGCGACCGCTGACACGGCGACCAGTGGGGCTCTCAAAGACCTTGAGCAGGGACTGACGCAGTGCGGAGTTGCGAGTAAGCTTGGAGCGCGTGGTGGGCACGGGCGACTCGTGCGGGCTGCTTGAGTCTGTGGTGCTGCCATCGCTGTCCTCATACAGCAACTGTCGAATTCGCTCCATCTGTTGCGTGCACATGTACGTGTGCAGATGTACGTGTGTGTGGCATGTACAGGTGAGGAGCTGATAGGTTGAAGGGGAAGGAATGAGGCGTGTGAAAGCGAAACAATCGGAGTAAACAAAGCAAAGCAGCAATGTACAAGTGTGTGTGTGTGTGTGCGTGCGTGCGTGTGTGCGTGCGTGTGCGTCTGTGAAAACCACTGACACCACAGCACAGCACGGCACAGCACAGCACACAGCACACCGTATCACACCACACCACAACACGCCACCAGCATTGACCATACCTCGCCCATCATATCTGCTGCTTGGTGCTCTGCTTCCTCGCGAATGGCTGCCTCTTCCTCATATCGCGCCCGAAGTTCCTTCAGATATTCCCGCATGTTGGCAATGTGCGTCTTTTTCCAAGCAGCGTGGTTGTGGGGAGGCAGGGGTTACTGTTGTGAGATGTGCGGTGGAAGGAGAATACAACTCAGCTGCAAGAGAACACACAGCAGAGTGCAACGAGTGTTTTATTGAGTGCAGAGTGGTAGTGTGGCCATCATTCACAACCAACAACGACATGCACAGCAACATGCACAAACAACAACGAAATAACAGCGTCAGCAGCCGCGCCAACACTGATCATTGCTTCACCTGCAGCGTTTTCTCCTGCTCATTGAGATGCTGTTTCTGGACAGAGAGCTGATGCAGCCCTGCCAAGGTGACAAGCGAGGAATTGTGGACAACATGAGACATTTGTGTTTGGTCCGTTGTGGGTAGATGCATACGTATGTGCAACCACAAGAACAAATCAAATGGAAACGAGAGCCAGACTCTTTCTTTGTTTGCGCGCGCGCGTGTATGTGTGTATGCGTACGTGTGCGCGCGTGTACGTGTGTATGCGTACGTGTGCGTGCGTGTGTGTGTGTGTGTGTGTGTGTGTGTGTGTGTGTGTGGTAGGTTAACATTCAGCCGCAACATAAAATCAACTTGTCAAAACCAGTAACAAGCACTCACGGCTTGCGCAGCGTTTGGGTTGCCACTTGACTTTCTTGCCGCCCACTGTTGCCAAGACAGCCTTTGTGTCCTTCCCGTCCAACATCGGCGCAAATGTAATCACCGCTTTCCTGATTGTGTTTGATTGACCAGGGGGAGTGAGAGAAAGGGGAGTGGATGAGCAAGCGAGTGAGAGGATTTGAGATTGCGTTTTGTGGTGTGTGTATGTGCGTTGCATGTATTATGTGCCTTGCAGGCGTTGTGTGTGGTGTGTGTACATGTAATGTGCGTGTGTGTTGTGTAAAAGGACTGTACTTGTACACATTGTGTATTGGGTGACACAGTTGCATGTGGGCGTGGTGACTGACTTGAGTTGCCGGCATCGTCGCTGTTCAGCCTCAACAAACGTGTCGAGGCGATGCGTCAGTTCGTCAAACTGCGTGACCGTGCCTGTACACCACCATGAGGAACATGCGCGCGGCAAAGGTGAGAGCGGAAACAGCACACGTGTATGCATGTCCGGGGGGGGGGGGGGAGAAGGGAGGGGAGATCAGCGATGGGTGCG